GGAGATGTGGAAGACGGCAAGATAAATGAAGAGCCACCTAAACTGCGTCTTGAAGTGCTACAAAGAGGGAGAGAACGAAAGCCTCAACCAAGGAAAGTATTAACAGATGTTTCAGATTTATAGATAGAAGATAAACATCAGTAACAGGATGGGGAGATAACAGTGTTGGTGGATCCCTTTTGCCTGCTAGTTAAAACACTCCTGGAAAGTGAGAGCTTTGGATGCAAGTTCTTCCTCTACTTAAAACCTTCACATCTTGTCTTGTAGAAGGATGCCTGCTTGCCTGAACCTCAAGCTGTTGCAGACTCACCTACTGAGAGTTTTATTTTTATGTGGTCAATAAGACTTACAATTTGAGCAAGGTCAGAAATCACATGCTCATTGAATAATCAAGCACCTGCAGACTCATTTTCTATTTTCCTGTCTAATGTATTCCTTGAAGTGGAGCACTCCCAGTAGAAGGTTGGAGAGAATGCTACCCTAGAAGACCTTATGTGTTGAGAATTTTTGTGTTAGGAATTTTAGGCAAACAGGATTTGTGAATTCATTACAGCATAAGCAGGAGGTAAATTCTTAGCCACTCAGCTGTCAAGCTCTGTTCAGTAAGGCAGCAGTTACAGCCAGCCGCAACCGTTTAGGTAAAGGTTGCCTTGAATAATTTTCTGGTAAACTTGAGGAGCCTAGGTGCCCCTAGTTTAAACAGCAGTTGAATAGTTTGTGGAAAAAATGCATTATGAAATTATGGACCACATATTAAACGTCTAAGCTGAAGCAGAGGCTGTATAGTATTGTGTGTGCGTTTCCAATAGTCTTCACGTCAAAACAGAAATAATCATATCATAAAAAGATGTTCACTCTTGCCTTTGTAGAAGTATCTTTCTGAAAGACTAGCTTAATTTTTCATTTTTTTTCCTATACATTCTGTACAAACCAAACAAAAATCTAACCAAGATAGCTGCTTCAGAAGGGACAATTCTTCAGTCTCTTGCAGTTGCAAGATCTATAAAAGGTCTCCTAATGGAACCCTTCTCCTTGCTTTTTGTTATAGTTCCTCAGACAGGCAGGCAGTTCCTGGGCGATGTGGAGGTCGGCGAGACAGATGAGAGGCTACAGGGGCTGGGTCACAGGAAATGCCACAGAGAGGAACAGGGGCAAAGCCTGGCCTCCTCAGGGAAGCATTAGCAGACAAGCTTTCACAATTTCAAGTTCTTAAATTTGTCCCTCTGGAAAATAACTGGAGAAATCTCAATGTAAACATTATTTTAAGAGTATGCTTACTGTATCTTGGAGATGTTATCAGTAGAGTAGGAATTTATTTTCTGTAGCTAAGTAAGACTGTCTGGGGCATTAGGCTGTTATATGGTGTAGTTTCAGCTGATCAGGAAAGTTGAGCAGAAGGTTTCAGACAAGCAGGACTGCCTAACGTAAGATCAGCTTTGTAAAGGGTCTTCCATAAACTCAACATTGCTCTAAACACTTATGCGAGATGAAAAGGAAGATATTCTGTGGGATATTAAGTGCCTAGTAAGTGCTGACAAGTTGAATTTGTAGTAGAAACAGGATTTTCCAGTCAGATAATGAATATCTGGGATAAGAACTCAAATTACCCTCGAATGTAAATAGTAGCAAAGGCAAAATGCATACATTGTAATAGCAAAGACAGTAAAAGTAACAGTAAGGATTATGAACTGATTCTAGGCCTCCAACAATTGTTAGAGGTAATCAATAGCAAGGGAGGTAAAGTTCTATACAAATAAAATATTCTTCGTTACCTTTTGGAAGTTTAACCTATTTGGATCAATAAAATATGGATTATAATTTAAATTTTATGATAGAGAAGCTATAAAAGTCCTACCATAATAAGCTTTTTATAATAAAGAAGTTGTGAATCTACTGTCATATATTATAGATGTTAAGATCAAACAGTTCATACTAAACAGCATAAGAGCTGTTTTATTGTAGCAGATGTTTATTATTTTGTTCTTTAGTTTCAACTTTTGCTGAACCAGTACCAGAAAGTTCTGTAACTTTAATATTTGATTCCTTTAAAAAGTTAATATTCACCAAAAACAGTGATATGAATGGTGATTCATGTCACCTTCACTTTCATTTTTAAATATATAATATTGCTGTGACATAAATTTCCCATTTATGAATACCTGGAATAGCAGGTCACATGTATTCACAAAGAGGGACAGTGCAAATAACTCTGGAGAGTACCATATTGGTTATATGTCAGAAACTAAATTTGTAAAATTAATATTGCTTGTTCACTTAAACCTGCATTTGCAAAAACTAAAATTAATTCCTTTATCTAGTGACAAAGTCACTAAGCAAGTGTGTACGGTGTATACAAGTGTACACTGTGGTTAAGAGTCCTAGAAGAGAGCTACAAGCATCTCTTCTTTGTACATCTCACTGTTAATAAAACCTGCAGCGAATCCTGCAAACAACTGCAGTAAGGTTGGTTTGTTTTTGCTGGTTTTTTTGGGGGGGAGGGGCTGGGGGGGAGAAGCATCTCCTCCCATGCACCCACACCCCAAAAGCTCAACCCACACTGACACTATAAAACGGGTGTGCAGGATTAGTAGCTACCCTAGTTTGGCAGACATTGATGTTAACAAGAGAATATCAAATCCTTATGCAAGCAAATCCTTTAATGTTAACGTTTAGGAGATTAACCAGCCGCTCCAGTGTCTCAAAACAACCTCCTCTGTGTGTGTGTGTGAAGACAGACTGTCTACAGGTAGTTGGCCTATCTGTACTAGAAAGTGTGTCCAAAAAAACCAAAGTCTCACTTGCATCAGCTGTTTCAATTCTACTGCTGCAGCAATACTGGGAATCCCTCCAGGTGCAATGTCTTGAAGTCACTTTGGGGGATATCATGTCACTTGGGCAATCTGCAGCAAAGTTGCCTGGTGCAGCGCTTCTGAAGGGTAGACTCTTGTCCAACTTCAAGTACTTCTTTGTAAGTTTTCATTGTTCTGCTCTGGCAGGGCTGTAGCTTACGAATCAGCACAGTCCACTCATGAAAACTGACAAAGAGGTCTCGACAGACCCATGAGGCAACACTCCAATGTGTTTAAAATAGAGAAAAAGTGCAAGAACCTGCCCCATTTTAGTTTTTTGCTACTTGTTAGTTCTTGGTTGTACAAGAACCTTAGGCAAAGTTTGATGGAAACGCTACTGGTGTTAGCAAGAAATCACTGGGAACTAAACTCGGTGCAAGTGTCCTTGGAGGAGGATATACAGGCATGAATCACAGGGAATATTCCATTTCCTTCTCCTCTTGAAATATTTTCTGCTTTAGCAATGCCCAGCAGGACAAATGGTCTGAAAACGCTAAAGTTGTTACTAAACTTAGATTATGGTGGCATGAGATAGTACGTTTAGGTTTAGAACGCTTATTAGCAGATAAAGAAAAAATGTTGTGGTCACACAGTGCAGACTGCTGACCTAGTCCAAACTCTGCTCATTGAACAATTTGTTGAAGAAATGTTGCAGCCGACTGTGTTATATAGTAGGCTTTATTCTATAATGGATATCATCTCTCTCTCAGCTGGGATAAACAGTGCATCGTCTGCTCGAGCTATTTTGACAGAAACCAAAATATACCATCACATGTTCATCACATGTTCTTGATCAAATCTATAGTACCAGGTGACTGTGCACAGGCCTGACATTAGCAAATAAGGAACCAGGGCCTTAATTGTATCAATCCAACACCTTGGGCTGCTGCTCAGAACGTAGCTTCCAACAGGAACTGTTTCAAAAATGAAATTGCAAGGAGGAGTTTGAATGTAGTATTTTTAATCCTATTCTGTAGATGAGAGTCTTGGTGGCATGCAGAGAAAAGATTTTAATGAGTAAAATTAATCAAGAAGTATTTTAATTTTAGGTACCGCTTAGTCCTTTGTTTCCTTCTTTGCTTTTTGGTGTTTTCCTTGCTCAATTCACATAGCTGAGCTCTAGAGATGTTTGCTGCTGCTGCTGAACAGAATGAAAAACTGAAATGACGTTGTGACTAGCAGACATACAGGAACCAGTCCCTGCCAAAGGACTGCTGCATGCAAACAGGGCAGCTAAACAGACATGCTCATAAGGCAACTATTGCAAAAGAGACACCAGGCAATTCAGGCAACCACAACAAACACCCAGTGGGTTTACACTGGGGAGACAGGGAAAGGGTGGCAATAAAGAAAAATCACAAACACACCCAGCATAAGAGTTCCTAGGTCTTCAGTCTGATGTCAGATTCCTTAATGCTGACAAATACTTTGAATGTGTGTGTACATAGTCTTCTGCCATAATGAAATATAAACATATCTGTCAGCCTGCTTACTCACTTTTCTTCCCAGCTATATAATGCACATACTGTATGTCTCTCCAACACATATAATGCAAAATACTGCATTACTTATCTATATCTGTGCTGACAGTTTTGAAACAAAGCGTTTGTCATGACAAATAGTCTGATAATCAACATAAGATACTATGTTTCCCTTTTCTGTTCCTACATGGCAGTAAAAACTATACACATACTGAAAAGCTACTAGGAGTAAATGCAAGACATTATTACTGTAGCTGATATATTACTTTAATAAAGCATACAATTGAATTCTCATCTGAAAGCATCACATAGAAAACATTTTTTTTATGAACTTAGAGATCACCTGGGTACTGTCAAAAGAGTTGCAAGTTTAAGCTCAGCTGCCCCCATGTTCACAAATAAAGTATTTTAATGTCCTGTCTTGCTTTCCCCCAATTATAAATTGGGAAAGTAACTTTATAGCACGTAGAGATGGCAGTAATACTTCTGCAAGTAACATGATTACTACCTTCCATTTGTCTTATCACAATCTATGACCAAATCTCAGTTCATAAGTCATTTGATTGCCACTCAGTAAGAACCTGCTATTCTCTTTAAGGAGAGGATATTCCAGGAGTGTAGTTCTCCATGGAATAATAAAATCTGCATCATGGTTGTTTCCATACCAAAGCCAGCTTTGTAACTCCACCCAGGTTTTTAAATTCAAAGCTCTTTAAAAAGCAGTCAAAATAATGCTGTCGCAGAGTCCCAATACATTGAAGAACAGTAAGAGATACTGTAGAGAGATCCTGTTTGCATTTGCAAACACTCTGAACCTGTTTCTTAAAAAAAAAAAAAAAAAAAGTTTTAAGAAAAATACTTCTTGGATCTAAAAGCCAGTGTCATGATGCCAGTTATTTCATGATAGAAGCAGTATTTTCAGGTTGATTTCCAAGTAAGTGTAAGAAGAATTGAAAAGCCCTGCTAATATGGGCAGGGATAAAGAGGTAAGCAGTGTATATTATCACAGCTACCACAGCAATGTTAAAACTGTAGAAGAGCAGTTTTTCCCAGGGCTCCATGAGGTAGCTGCAGGTGATTAGTTCATACTGGCAGTACAGCCAATAGAGATAGCTCTTCATGGTCTTAATATCCACTCTCATCTTTGAGAAGCTCCTGAGGCCTTCCCTATTACAATAAAGAATAGTTAACAGAAAGACAAACCTTGTTTTTTAAAAAAGAGAAAACTCATTTCAAAAGTTATATTAAAGCATTGTAATGACATGACAAAAAATTATGACTTGCACAACTCTTTATGCTAAATGTCTTATTTAACTGAAGAAGCTGAAATAGTTACATGGCATTCACTCAGTTTGTTTATACTGACCATTTTCAGTCATCATTTTCAATGATGTTTTATAAACACAGGAGAGCTAAAATCCCAGGACTGCAAATATATTTTAAAGCAAGAATGAGTCATTTACCCCTTCCCATAAAAGGCTTCATCCGTATTCCTTTTCTTTTCCTACCTGCAGTTCTGAATAAGACAGTCAAATTTAGACTGCTGTATCATGGGTGATTTACCAAGGAAGGTCTGTAATCCACTTTTTCCAGAAATCTGTGTCCCAGTATTTATTTCCATTCCATTCTCCAACCCACTCTAGTTCTTAACTTTGGCTTGTGCTGGATTATTTAAGATTCTGTTGAAGTGGCTTAATTCAGAAAGTGTTTATCCTCTCCTTCACCATTCACGTGAACTTCAAAGTATAATTTGGTTAGATGTCTAATTTTGACTACTTCAGACTGAACTTTGTGTCTTATGCTTCAGTTGTTGCTGGAATGCAGACTGAAAGGGTTGAGAGTACAACACATACAGAAATACAAAAAAAATGAAACTATATATTGATTATACAGCTCGTTCTGTAACAGATGAGTATGATCTGTTACAAGAATAAGAAATATAAATTTTTTTTCAAGCTTCGTATTCAAATTAATGCTAATAATCCTATAATGATACATAATATAGTTACGAGAAGAATAAACAACTAGAGAAGTAAAAGGAAAACTATTTCAGTATTTCAGACTATTTCAGTTAGTGTTGCTTCCCGTCATTCGGTAAGCAGGAGATGCATTTTACGAAGCAGACACAAATGGTGACGTTCTCCTTTTGGTGCTGACTGCAACGTTAGAACTTTTGGTGGTGTCAAGATCTGTGGGGAAATCATAGTCCATAGAAATGAAAGGCAACTTCATAGATTTTAATGGAGTGTCATCCTAACTAAAGCCACTTCTTCAAGGCTTTAAAGAACTTTTGCCTCAGCTTTTCCATTTTACAAAACATGTCTTCCCCTTTTTTTGCCTGACAAGTGAGGTGAACTTAGGTATGCTTCTACAGTTAAATATTATCATTAACTGTTTCTAGTAATATTATTATGCAGTCACCTTTCTGGATGTTACATGCAGTTTTTACAAAACCCAGACCACACTTAAGCCTCCTATCAAATACATTTATTGCCAAACTATTTTGAGGAAAGACTTTTCTTACAAAAACAGTACAGATGGCATAAAAAATAAAACTTACCTCTTCACTTCTCCCTGGTGACAAAATATCTAGATGAGGGATGTCTCCTGACACTCCTGCCTTTTGCAGCTGAACAGCTCCCCTACACATTGAGAAGCAGCAACAATCAGCTTTGATCCTCAATTACAGAGTGTGGCCTCCATACCCCGCCCTTCTTCTTTCTATTGCTACAAACTCCTCTGGCCAAGGCTGATGCATTATGCAACATGGACACCCACTGACTGGCTCAGTACCAAGCATGTCATGACAGCACAACAGGTAGGAAGGAACACAGGAGGCTGACATACTACTTGGGAGAATCGGCAAAAATTTGTTACAATTAGTGCCTTCCCTAATTTTGAATTTCAAAGTATATAGCTCCACTTCTGTGGGACTTCACAGTACAGGTTGCCAAAGTTCCTTCAACATGCAATTTAAGGTCCAATGCAAAATATGGTGTGAGAGTTATGTAGCCACAAAAATGAAGTTCAATGACTATGTCACTGGAGAGCCTCAGGTGAAGCCACTACCTCCTGCAACCTTTGATTAACAGCACTTTCAAGCAGTTCTCTCTGTGGCTGTTATCTCCTAGCCCCATATACACACTTCAGTTATCCTGATCTAGGAACACACTGGAGAGAACGTGTGGACAAGATTCATGTGAGGAAAAGATGATGAGTTTTCCTGAAAAATGCTACAAAATAAAACCAAACCTCAGTAAGTCTTAGCTTGACACATTTTAACTGGTCTAATTGGACAAGTAAAGTAGGTAGAAATCTATGTATTACCATTATGCTGTAAACTATCTGCCTGCAGCCAAATCATTTCCAAACATGAATCAGCTTCATTTTGGGAGAATATGCCACAAGCAACGTCTAAGGCATCTTAGCCCCACCTTCTTTCTTCCCTTCCTTGCCAAACACAGCCGGAGCTGATCTATTACTAAATTCTGACCTGCACCCCCAACATTTTTTTCTGTGATTGTTTTCAACAAAATACAGCTTTCTGTTCAAAAAACTGTCCACTTCCCATAAGAAAGTCTAAAATGATGAACCACTGCTTCTGACAGCAGTAGTTAACATTCCCCAGGCCCTAATTTTTTCTTCCAGAGCCTGGGGTCTGCCACAGGAGTACCTTTCCCATGCGGGACAGACTATTATGAACCTATATAACCTAGGCCTGGGCCTATTCCAAAGAAGAGAACACCCTGAAATACAGTTGTAGGATTCTTATCTCAAGAATTTCTATTTTCAGCCAGATTTTTTGGGGTACATATTTCAATGGAGTCTTTGCAGGGGAAAGGGGAACTTCTTTGGGGGTTTTTCATGAAAATGTTAGTGGAACTGTTGTGTTTATACGCAGGAGAAACAACACTTCTTGACTACCACAGTGCCTACATTCTTGGCAGGCCAGCATCCCTCTTTGTGTTAGTCACCCTCCCTGCTAGGTGAATCGCCCTCCTCTGAATCCTTTAGCAAGATGCACTGGCAGAGCTGAGAAGAAAAGTGACTAACAGAGCAACCCAAGGTAGGGCTGTCACCTCAGCAATCTCTGAATTCAGAAAAAGATTTGCGTTAACAGCCAGGAGAAATGATTTAGGTACTTCTGCCATTTTCAAATACAAAGTGGCAAATCCCAAGAACTAAAGCAATGCAGGAAGCGAGACCAGTCTGGGTTTGCTTGAGTTCTAACAGCTTCAAAAACATTTCAGTTTTCACCTGACAGTTGAAAGCAGTTATGAAAAGGATAGCTAGTAGTGCAGAAGGACAGGCTATTTCACAGAAATAAAATCTTAAGGTAAGCAGAAGCCATACTCACATGATGCTGTAAGCAGATCTTGGACTGTGCTGTGCAAAGCCCCAGGGCCTTCTCTCCTCCTTGCTTTCTGAGCAGCCACTCCTGCTGCCTTTCCCAGTTTCTGCCCCAAGGGGAAATAAGAACTCGTTAATACCTTTCACAATTCATAGCCATATGCGTATAGCTTCACTCAGAATACAAAATTTGCCTGAAACGCCTACCATTTAAGCCAGTTTTGGCCTACATGCTTTAAGATACCTCCTCCCCTCAGAGAAGAAATAGAAGTTATCTTCAAGATAAAAACAAAAACAGACAAAAACACACTGCTATATTTGGTAAAACACAGTGATAAATGACTGGAGATGCATGGAGAAAACATTTTGTTGCAAAGATTATACTGTAGTTTTGGTGCAGCTCTGAAGAGCAGGAAAGAGATTTACCTGGAGAGCACACTGTCCCAGAGTGACTAGTTTCTGTCCCTCTGACAGCATCAGTCACTGCTTCTAAATCGTGCAGATCCTTGGCTGTAGGTCTTTCACGGAGTTGCATATTTGGAATCAAAACTTATCTGTGCTCCAAGAAAAGCTTGCACTGACTCACAGTATTGCATCAACATACATTTACATAAATCTGGAAAAGGCGAGCATGAGAAGTGCAGTGTAAAGCTTTGAAAGCTTTATTACTTCCTGAGTGCCATCAACAATTAGCCTTGTATCTCCATTATTAGCAGCGTCCAGTCCTGAGATTAACTGAGTGGTCATTTCAGTTACTGGTAAAACAGAAATTGGCAATGTGTATCCGAGTGGCAGAATATTGGACTCTGTCCTCCTTAGCCTTATATCCTGCTGTGTTCTGTTAAACAGACAGGGCTGTCCCCTTCCCAATGCTGCTTACTTCTTTCTCAGATTTTATCAGTTCCTAAAAGGTGTCTACTCATGGACTGCAAGATAGATTGCAAGGAAAACATCCAGACAACTTCTGAACAAGCTTATTCTTCAACTGCCATATTGTCCTTCTGGATGTTTTCAGGCCTTTTAACTGTTTTGCCCAGGTTTGTACCTATGCAGACGCATAATTAAATTTCAAATCCTCTTTTTATTGCTCATGATGTTTCCAGCCTAACAAATTGAAACACAACCATGTAAAAGGTCATACACCAATGATTCTTTCTAGCATGGAAAACATGAATTGAAAAAGCAAATTAGAAATATTCAAATAATCACTTCACCAAGGGAAATCATCACGATGTCCCTCTTTTTTTTTTGTTTTTTAAGTTCAGTAAGGTTCCCCATATGGAAAAGCAATGACTTCTTCAATATATAGAATTTAGTAGAATAGCTCCATAAGAAAAAGTAATGAAGTTTTGTTTTCTATTATCTTGTGCCTAATAATGATGTCTAGTAAGGTATAAACCTACACTGAAGCATTTGCTCTGTGTTTGGCATCCATAATGGCTGTCTTCCATGTGGCTTCTCTGTTATCTAGTATGGACTATGTAATAATGCCACTTTTCCTTCAGTGAGGATCATCTCTCATCATCTTGCTTTCTTGCTTTTGAAAAAATTCACAAATTTTTAAGAGCAATATTTTGTGCTCAGATTTAACTTAATTTGGTCATAGGTTAAAAAGTAAGGTGTGTGGGAGTACAGAGAGATACCTAGGCCTCATTTCCTTAGAAGATCAGGCTACAAATGCCTGAAGTCTCTCTACCTCACACATATACACTGTGGTAAATCATTTATTTGTATACTTAAAATTAAGACAGTGGAAGATAATTGAAGCAGAAA